CAGGGTTGGGAAGCAAGCGAGCAATGTAATATACTATTAAAAACATATCCTCTTTAAAGTTGTAATGTACTCGAATTTGTATGGGATAAATATTTTTGTTAGGTCTATCTAGAGGCACAACATACATAAAAATATGGTACGATAAAGAAGGAAAAATATGGGGACGAGGATTGGAATTCATGAACTCTTGGTTAGAGGCATTTTCCAATTACCGTTAAGCTAAACTTATATTGACACTTTTTTTTACTCATTATTACAATTAAATTAACCTCAAATTTAAGGTTCAATATGATTTAAAGTTAAAAGATAAAATGTGTCTTAGACATTAATCTCCAAATCATCAACTTCTTAGACACTACAAAATTAAAATTAAAAATTATATAAAAGAAAAACAATCAAATCTCGATAATTTGTTAAAAATAAGTTTTGTCAACAACAATCAGTCCAAAGAGACGACAATGTATATGCAAAGATTGAAATTTTTTTTTATTTAAGTTCGAATGAGTAAGGTGGCTACACTTGGAGAGCGTGGAATAAGAATCTTACTTTTAGATTATTAGGTTTGAATATCCCACCAACATGTATATATTTTTTTTATATTTCTAATTATATAATATAATTTTAATATATAATATACTATTTCTTCCTATTATAATTTTTATAACAGCGAGGCTCAACAACGACGTCTAAAAAGGTTTGAGGGGGCTCGAGTCCTCCTTAGTCCACTGTAGATCCACCCCTAGATTCAATTATGATGGATTATTGAATCTACACTTTTCCGTAAAATTTAGTCAGTTGATAATTTCTTTGGATGAATAGCATAGCTTTTTTTATTCTTTGCTCGGATGAGAGTGTAACGAAGTTACTTATACTAAATTTATCTAGTGGAGACCACTGTCAATGTGATCTATTTGTCAAGTTTTCTATATTAGAAAACGAACTACCATACTTTCTCAAAAATAAAACGAAATACCATTTTTTCTAATATCTATTTTTCTACTTATTAGTTTTAATTAAAAACACAATAAATATATATATGTATATATACACGCACATAATTGGTGCACGTAAGTAAAGATTTTCTTATAATACAAACAAAGTTCCTTCAAGATTACAACCTTCCGTTTGATTCGACCACACCTTATTTTACTATTATAATTTTTCTTCACAATGACAAAATAAAGGGCTAAACTCAAACCTCATTATTATTATTATTTATTGTTTTTTAATATTTGAAAACATAGGGCTCCACATTCACATTATTCTATATGGTTTTTAACGGTTCTTTAAATGAACAAATAAATAAATAATAATCTCTTTTCGTGACACCATCACTTCAATGCTTCTCTTTATTTATTTTGCTTCCGCTTCTTTAATTTCTGGGCCACCCACCCTCGAACCGCTTGGATTATTTGACCCAATTCCGCAGTCCACGTAGTATCTAGCTCTTCATCGCCAGCCGTCCATCTTCCTCCCAGTCCAATCCAACGGCTCAGCTTCCGTCCCAAACCGTGTCCCTTCACTCTCTCCCTATATAATGAAGCGCCCAAACAAACCACGATCCCACACCACATCCACTCCCTTCTCGCACTCCGAATAAGGACACTCTCAGTCTTTTCACCTCCGACCGGAAACATCACCGGCGAAGTTTCAGATTACGACGGCAGACTAAGAAACGGGAAAATGGCGTGGTTGCTCTCTTTGAAGGCTCTGCTGATGTCTGCCGGAGTCGTTTCCATGGCTCTGGCTCTGAAGGTCTCTGTTCCTTTGGTTGCTGAGTTTTCAGTTGTGTACGTTTATCTGATTTGGAACTCCATGATCTCTTTCCTGAGGCCTCCTTACGTTTACATTATCATCAACGGCATCATCATCTCCATCGTCGCATCCACGCGCTTCCAGCACAAGGAAGCGGACGGTTACGCTGAGATTCCTTCTGCAACTAAGATTCCAGAGGATGTGAGGTACAGGGAGATTGTTCCGGAATTTACTATTCCAGAATCGCCGGTGGCTCACGAACAGATAGAGGAACTGATTGTTTCGGAAGTGAAGGCTATCGAGGCGATTAATTTGCAGAGAGAAGAGGTAATTGCTCCGGAAGCGAAGGCTATGGCGGAGGTGATCTCGCAGAGAGAAGAAGTAATCGTTCCGGAAGTGAAGGTTATCGAGGCGATTAGCTCCGTTGAGGCTGAAGCAGAAGATGAGGATAAATTTGTAATATCGGACATCCCGCCCTGGAAATCGCCGGAGAAGATGAAATTGCCGGAGAAACCTCTCGTTTCCTCCAGGTTCGGCCACCGGAAATCGTCTAAAGCGAGTCCTGAAGGTAATGATTTATTTATTTATTATTTATTTCACACTACTTTCAAGTTCTGCAAGCGAGCGTTAGATTACCTAGAGATTCGAAAAATAGTGAGAATCGGAACTCTAAGAACTTTTTGGTCGGCGTCGGGGAGAAATAACCGGCGGTGTAGTCAGTTTCGTTACGTCTCTCCTTCGCTATGAAATTAAAATCAACTTTGGCTTACAGCTACCACTTGCGTTCTAATGTGAGCGTCGTTTTCACGCACAAATTAAATAATTAGGGGAAAAGCCAAACACGGCCGTAAAGATCGTTAGGTTGAGAATTTCTCATTGGATAAACAGTAACCGTTTCTGAAGGAGAAAAATAATAATATTCTGATCGGCGATCTGTTTTCCGGTTAACTTTTCAGGCGGAAAAGCGCTTGGAGTTGTATCGAAGGCGAAACGGCACGAGACGCTCGAGAACACGTGGAAGGCGATAACGGAAGGCAGAGCAATGCCGCTGAGCAGGCACATGAAGAAGTGCGAGACCTGGGAGAATCACGGCCGTCAGATTTACGCCGGCCAGGTTGAGTCGTCGCCGGTGAAGAAATCGGAAACTTTCAGGGACAGGACGAATGAGACATTGTCACCTCAGGCGATGAAGCTGAGGAAGGAGCCGTCGCTGAGTCAGGACGATTTGAATCGGCGAGTGGAGGATTTTATTAGGAAGTTCAACGAGGAGATGAGGTTGCAGAGGGAACAGTCGTTGAAGAAGTACTGGGATATGGTGAACCATGGAGATAACTGAATCTACAGTCCATTGGAACTTTTCTTCTTTTGGGTAAATTTTGATGGGGGCAAAAAAAAAAAAAAGGAAATTACTTTATTTTATTTTTATTTGTAAAAAAACCAAAAACATTGGTATCGTAATTTATAGAAATGTTCTATAATAGCAAGAAATTATAGGTTTGTAAAACTTCTTTTGTTTCTTTTTTTTTTCTTTAGAACAAATTAGTGGCGTAAAACAAACTTCTTTTGCGATATAAACACTACTTTTTCGACTTTATTTGAAGGAAGAATTACATACATAAAAAAAACATCTAACACTGGTACTCGTAAAGATTTTCTTCAACGATAATATGATATTGTTCACTTTAGACATGACCACGTGTATTTTTATCTTTGGTTTTACTAAAAACACCTAATAGTTATAGAAATAGAAAGAAAGGAAGGCATGAATCGAGAAATGATGAAATAAATGAAGTGAAATTTTGTATTGGATCTTTTGGCTGTACAAATTTTGAGCAACTAAGAGGACGTCCCAAATTGAAAGTACTTTCAGAAACCAATTGAAAGCAAATTCTCTATGAAACATTTACAGCTATGTACCAAGAGCAACACATCCTCAGAAGAACGCCACTTAGAAATGAATAAAATCAAATAAAAATCTCTCGTTCTAATCTTCCTCTGCTCTCCTCTGTTCTTTGTTGTCGTGCGTTGGGGCATTTGGGGCAGTGGAAACCAGAAGCGATATTTGCAAAAAAAACAAAGCTTCTACTTCAACAAGTGAGGTAAAACCGAAGTCAAGATTGGGAAGAGGAGGATGATGACGAGAATGATGCCCAAAATGACTGCATAACAAGTCCACTTTCTGGAGCTCTTCTGGTACTCTCTGGCCTCCTGAAGCTGCTCTGTTCCTCTTCTGACGAAGGAGTTGGCATGCGCGACATGGCTCTCGATGTCGTTCAGCTGGTGGCCCTGGGCCTCCACCAGAGCCGCCATGTCCAAGAATATCTGATGCAGCTCTATCAAATTCTTCTCTATCTCCTTCACAGCGTCGTGTCGCTCCTGAATCTCTGATATGGTGTCCATTATCTGGCCCCTCCCCTGTTCTTGGATCGCCTTCTGCAGGAAGCTCTCGCTCTCCCCGCTCGATATCAAATTCTCTATTGTCTCCTCGTTCGCTTTCTGCCCCGTCACCGTGAAGTACCTGTCCCACGAAACAAAATCCACTTCGTTGAGATATCCATGCATGAATTAAAATTACGCAACTCATCAGTTTAAACTTTTGGATCGAATGGTGCTTTATTCATCTTTAACATGGTATCAAAAATCCTGTTTTAAATCTCTATAATTAATACATCTTTTATTGTAATTTCTAGTTTTGTTGCAATTTTCCAATCTCTTTTGGATCGAGTGATGGTTTATTAATTATTATCGAACTCGAACACCCTTGTAGTTAATTCCTTCCCCTTTACTATGATTTCTACCCTTGATCAAATGGTGGTTTATTCATTCTTAACACATTTCAATTTCCCTCCGTTCTACCTTTCTTAACAATTTCAATTTCGACTATACCTTCGCTCGACGGTTTCTTTGTACTCGGCATTCATCCGAGCTCGGAGGCCCTGGAAATCGTCCATGACGTCTTTGAGTTTCTTGCCCAAGCCGCTGACGACGGAGGTGCGGGTGCGGTCGGCGGAGGAGCCGGGGCCACAGCCGGGGAGGTTCCGGTGGGCGGCATTGGAGCGCTCGAGAGCTTCGAGCTTCCCCTTGACCAATTTGACTCGTTTGAGAACCTGGGCTACATCGGCCTCCATTCTGGCCCTGAGCTCCTTCATGGTCTTGGCATTGTGCACAATCTTGCACTCCTCGTTGGCCTGCTGCAATTTCTTGTACAGACTCTCAACCTGCCGCATGTCCTCCTTAACATTCTCGACATCCTCGAAGAATCTGTCCAAATTCACGCTCTCATTCCCAGCCTCCATGCTGTCCAGGTACGCCTGCTGCTTCAGATCCGTGTACTTCTTGAACGAATTCGAGAATAGATCGTTCATCTTGTCTGTTTTTTATGGTCACCCTCAAATCTTCTCTTTGTCTTCTTCCCTCCCCAATGTTTTATGTTTTCTTTTCAAAATTTCTGTAAGAAGTACAAAGAAAGAAAGGGGGTTGAAAATTTTGGTCTTTTTCTTTTCCTAGACGAAGCTCTTGGTAACGGGTCTTCGTCCAATGAGGAAGAGAAAAGGAAAGAAGGTAGAAAAAGAAAGTAAAACTTCCAACACCCCAATATGGGTATAGAGAAATTAGAGAAGATTTGAGAATGGGAATCGGTGTAATTAATTAGATGTGTTGCAATCGGGATGAACGTAAAAAGTTGACCGCCGGACGTTTTAGAGGATGGGGAAATTATTACATTGGTTCATCAATCATCCACTTGGCGCGCTGTTCATCCAAACATTTTCAAAACATTTCCCCTCTCTGTCTTCTACCTCTTGACTTGGTCGCTTTTCTTCCTCTCTTCTCCAAATTCCAACCACTAGATAATAACAAAACCATTCTTTTATCTTAAAAAAGGAAGAAGACATAATTGTGAGGATTGGCCATTGCCATTGCTCTGTTACACACTGTTCTAAATAATGTAATGAACAAAAGAGGGATTTGTTACGGTTAATCTCTTTTTAATCTGAATTTGAATCTCCACCCACTTGATATTGTTGTATTAGAAAAAAGAAAATAATAATATTTGCCTCCTTACTACCAGCGATGATCAAATATTGTTCTTGTCACAGTAGAAAAATATAATAACAGTAAACTAAAAGTAAAATTATCCTAGTTAATGTAGGAATCTTGAATTCTCATGAATTTTTATATGTTTTAAAATTATATTTAAAAACCTTAAAAACATGAAATCGTGAATTTGTTATGACCCAATGCACGATAAGTTTAGTTATCACTCTAATTAAATATTTTTTTGAAAAAATATTTCATATGGAGATAAATTTTTTATAAAGAGGAGTATTTTTTTATTTTTTATTTCTTGGAAACAATAAAGAGAAGAGTTGATGCATGAGAAATTAAAATGAGTAAATAGAAACGGTTAAGGAATAAGGATCAATCCGTCTTAATAAATATTAAAAAAGCAACAAAAAAAATGAAAAATCGCCGTTGCCGGGGATCGAACCCGGGTCACCCGCGTGACAGGCGGGAATACTCACCACTATACTACAACGACTTATTGTTAATAGTTAAATATAAATATTTTCTCAACTTTGAACTGTTAATTTCCATTCCACGAAGTCGGCTTCTTGGTCCACTGGTAGCAAAGCAACTCCTTTTTTTTTCTTGAAAAGCTATTGGACTCCAAGTTTTATGCATAGCTTCAGGCGAAGTGTTCCTTCATCTTGTTCGGATCCATCGTATTCATCCATCTCATGCTCAGGTGATAAATTCTGCTGCATCTTGATGCTCCCCATTTCTTTTCATCAACATAATTCTACAAATTATTGTCTGATTTCGATACTTCCGAATCTGTACGGGGTTAAGAATTCCGAGGGTTCCATTTTGTAATTTGGATTGAATTAATTAAGCTAAACTGTATTCTTTTCTTCTCAATTTTTTGTTTGGAGTTCCTTGGGCTGCGGGAAGCCTGTGGAGAGATTCCATATTCTTGTTCCTTTTTTTATAATATATATAATTTATAAAAATTGGTTTTCTGCACGGGACGGTTGACACAATGGTTAAATTCACCTTCTCTTCCATTTTGTTTTCTTCACTCTTGAGAGAATTAACAGACAGAGAAACACAATTCTGCCGTCATTCATATCCTGCCGTGTATTGATTTCTGGGGACGGTGGGCGCTCTACTGACTGCTCCGTTACCTTTTTGGTTTTTGGTTTACTTATGTTTGCGTTCTGGGGTGGAGGGGATGCACTTCTCAATTTCATTCTCAGAAATACCGAAATGGTTTCTTTTACCAGCTGCAATTTATACTTTTTTCGGTGTCGAGGTGGTCCTGAGCTTGAAGTATACATCTGGTCCTCTGGCACTTGCTTGCCAAGTAAATTAATGCATCCTGGACATTGTCGTTTAGTATCTCCAATCTTGCAGGGTTTTGAAAACTTGGATCGAGGAAACTTTTTTAAAAAGATTATGCTGGCCATAATTTCTTTGATATGTTTTTCAACTTTCTTTTGAATTCTTAGCAAAATTTAAAAATAGAAACGAATTTTGTTTTTAAAGTTTGACTTAGATTTTAAAAGGTGTTTTAAAAAGTATGTAACATAACAAAAAAACACTAAGGTAGAAGTAGTGTTTATATCCTTAATTTTCAAACAAAAAAAAAACCAAAAACAAAAACAAAACGGTTTGCCTTAATTTACAATTTTTAAAAAATGTCATCTTGCTTGTGTAAGCATGAATGTTTCCATTTTTTCCGGATTTAGGTGTAATCCAGTATATGAGCATGACGACTTAATTCTTTTTGAACATCAAATGTGACTAACTGTGACAACATTCGAATCAGAGTGTTAGTCAGCTTATATCTGTTATAATTATTCTTGTCATTGATTTATACTGATCTTCTTTATATTTTAGGCATGGTTCACCAATGGGAATATGATCTATGTAGATGAGACCAACGTGTAATGATCAAGAGCTCCATCTCAAGCTCTCTAAAAATGATTGTATCTGGCGTCATTCTTGATCTGGATGGAACACTTCTAAATACAGGTCCTATTGTATTCTCAACAATGTGGATCAACTTTAGTATTGCTTACTGTTGTTACATAATACTTGTTTCTATCAGCAACTCTATTTTAAGGCATTGAAATTGTTTTTTTCTGCTTGTGAAAAATGTGTTATCTATTTGATAGCTTCCATACCTAGACTCCCTATTTCGACTTGGTATTGTATAAATATATTAACCAGCTAGCAATTGTGTTAACTTTTAGTGTCCTTGTCTTTCCTTTTCTCTCCACTGCCGAATTTCTGTCTCCCACACCAAACTATAGCAGATGGCATAGTGAATGAAGTTCTAAAATCTTTTTTGGGCAAGTATGGAAAGCAATGGGATGGAAGAGAAGCCCAAAGGGTTGTTGGGAAGACACCATTTGAGTCTGCAGCTGTCATCATTGAAGATTACGGGCTTTCTTGCACATCAGCCGAACTGATGTCACAGATTTCCCCTTTGTTTGCGGAGAGGTAAGTAACTATTTTGCTTTCCTCTTGGTTATAAGTTCTTCAACCGTTTAAGGTCAATAGTGAGATTTCATGGTTTTACATTATGTTGCAAATTGCTGTGGTGATACACAGTGGCAGTTCTAAATTGAAAACACTGCATTCATTCCAAACGCGACATGATTTTTCTGGGTTGCGACCTGTGGCAATGTCATATGCTTTAAACTCTCTTGTCTCGGCAAACTTACAAACAACTGGTGTTGTTCTAATTACCATCTGTAAATTTATGTGCATATTTATTAATCCGTAGTTTGTGGCACCATATATATTCTGTTGTTTATGTTAAATTAACAGCTCGTTGATCTTTGAACACTGGTTTTTAGCTTTTCAAGTTACTTGCAACTGGATATTTCTTGTTAGTTTGGCTTTGGTTATGAAAATAGCATAAAGCATTTATCAGACTATTTATTTTTTCTTGGACCTCCCAATTTACTTTTGATATTTTTTCCTGAATTTTCTTGGCTCGGTGAATTGTTGTTTCATTTCATTGCCTGGATCATGGTGCTATTTGCTAAATACAAGACTTCAATCTCAGATCGTGTATTGTAATGGTTACTTTGTTATTATTAAGAAGTGTTTTGAGTAATGGAACTTCTTAACACATAGAATTTGTCAGACCACACCGTATGCATTTGAAGGCAGATGTTACTGGGTGGGTTGGAATTTATAATAATTCAGCATTTTATGTTCTTTGAACTACATAATATTAATTAGTTCATGAGGTTATTATTTCTTTATTTTTCTTTGGGCAGTTTCATTGAGGAAATGGAATTTTATTATTCTATTGGATTGTTGATTATGCAAATGTATTACATCTACAATATGATCCATGTCATGCCAGAATACTTTTAGTTTGGAAGAACTTTTCTTTAGGCGTCTTTTGGTGATTTCTACTTCAGGTGGTGCAACATTAAAGCACTTCCAGGAGCAAATCGGTTGATTAAACATTTCACTGGTCACAGAGTGCCAATTGCATTGGCTTCAAACTCAACTAGGGAAAACATAGAAACCAAAATTTCTTTTCATCCGGGTATGTTTGCTCAGAGAATGTAACATGTTTATTTGTTCCGATTGAAAGTGCTGATCATTGAGGCTTTTACACTTGTTTGTGATTGCTATTTATGTATTCAGCTTCTTGATTTTATGATTGCATAGGCTGGAAAGACTCATTTTCTGTGATCATTGGTAGCGATGAAGTTAGAACGGGCAAACCGTCTCCTGAAATGTAAGATGCAACTATTTTCTGTCTACTCTCTCTAATTTGATTAAAAGTTTCCTTTGCAAGTAGCCCATTAAGAACTGACAATGTATAGCCATTTCAGATGGCTGACTGCTCTTCAAAATTTCTTTAAGTATTTCCTTTTGAAGCAATCAATCAACAGTTCTAACAATGCTTTCATTGTTAAAGATTCCTTGAATCAGCAAAAAGGTTAAATCTTGAACCCTCAAGGTGCCTCGTAATTGAGGATTCCGTGTAAGCATCTGATCTATTCAAATTTTAAATATTGGAATTTCCTATGTGAAGATATTAACTCACAGTCTATAACTTCTCTCTCAACATGGTCCACCAGTCCAGGTGTTACAGCTGGTAAAGCTGCTGGGATGAAGGTGGTTGCTGTACCATCCCTTCAGAAAAAGTCTCATCTCTACTCTTCAGCAGATGAGGTGATCAATTCACTACTTGACTTTCAGCCTGAAAAGTGGGGCCTGCCTCCATTTGAAGATTGTATATACCACAAACCTTTTTAACCATCTCAATTCTCAACCTTTCCAGTTGAGTTTTTCTGTGCATCAACCTTAATTTTTGTCACAATTCTTGACTTTTGACTATAGGGGTAGAGAACACCTTACCAATTAATCCTTTGTACATTGGAGGTCCCGTTGTCAAGGGATATGGGCGTGGCTCAAAAGTACTTGGGATTCCTACAGGTGTGTGATAATTCAACAGACCTTTCCCATTTCAGTAGGTTGCTCATTTGACCTTAAAATCAGCAGTATGTAAGAATTGCCAAACTTATCCATCTGGTGTTCACTTACCAAACTTTCTGGAGTTATTTGATTCCTGGTCTCATCTCATAGTCCTTATTGAGCAAACTTAAGAGTAACATGCGAAAGAGTGCTCTTCCTGTACTGTTATTAACCTCGATTTCTGCAAGCAGATTTCTTTCCATTATAATACTTACAAACTTGTCTTGCTTTTCCCAGCGAATTTATCTGCAGAAGGATATTCAGATGTCCTTTCAGAACATCCATCGGGCGTGTATTTCGGTTGGGCCGGTTTATCAATGAGAGGCGTCTTTAAAATGGTCATGAGCATTGGTTGGAATCCATTTTTTGACAATAAAGAAAAGACTATTGTAAGTATAACAGTTCAGAATGTTAGGTTGCTGTATCACTTTCTGGTTAATATTCATATTCGATACAGGAACCATGGCTACTTCATGAATTTGATGACGATTTCTACAACGAGGACTTGAGACTTGTTGTCGTTGGATATATTCGGCCAGAGGTATTATTTGTAAAATAACTAGCATGTTCTAAATTGTTGATTGCCATGCTCACCACTTTCACTAAAATCTCGGCAATATTATCACTAAGCAGGCCAACTTTCCAACCCTTGAGAGTCTCGTGGCTAAGATTCACGAGGATGGGAGAATTGCAGAGAGAGCTCTTGACCTTCCATTGTATTCGAAGTATAGGAACGAGCAGTACCTGAAAGAGCATGATGCTTAGAGATAGCATGCTTTACGAGTTGAAATTTATGAACCAAATTAAAATTCTTCCCAACTATACAGTTGGATACACTCCTATTATTAAAAATAATTGTGGCTTAATTTCTGTAGTTTATGATCACTGAGGATTGATTTAACAACCTTTTTCTTTTCTTTATCATCCTACATCATTATTTATTTTAGAAACGTTGAAGCTTGTGGGTTTCTCCCCAAATAGAGGGAGCTTTTTTAGTAAAAATATGTGGGGTAGGAGTCAAACACACGGCTTTGATCAAAGTTACATACCTTAATCAATTAATTTAGATTCAAGTTACTCCAAATAGAAGGTGTTAATATCATTTTAACTTTTGGAGTGGTAACCAATGTTTAAATTTAAAAATATGATTTTGTGTTGTTGATGTGAGAATGTTTCCAAACATTTTAACAAAATTTGCAAATGTATAAATGCACATTTAGAATTTGGGATAATCCTTCTGTCATTTGTAGCCAAATAAGGGGGGAAAAACCTTTTGCATATAGATGGAAAAAAGCATAACTAAATACAACTTTCTGAATTTCAAAATATAGTTAAAATTAAAAATAAAACCCATTCCCCTCTTAGAAAATATTAAAATAATTTCAAAATGTCTATCAATCTTCCTTTTTTCTTCTTCTCTGTTGAGTAAAACAAAAGAGGTGAGAGGTTTTGAACTCGTGACCTTATAGTCAGAAGATGTGTCAATTACTACTAATAGACTATATTGTATAGTAATATTTTTTTTTTAAAATAATATAGCGATAGACTGTTATTAGTAAATGTTTATCGATCAACATGTATGAGTGATATAATATGTTACCCATGAATGTAAATGAGTAATATAGGAGAGTGAAAAAGAAATTATAAAAAATTGTCTATGGAAAAAAATTGTAATATTTGTAAAATGTTGTTATTTGTTCCTTTTTTTCGATACATCATATCGGAGTGTCAATCAAAAAAATATATATATCGGAGTGAAATTTTTTGATATAGATAATTTAATTATTGATTTATGATCAGGTTTGATCATCACTACTAAAAAAAAAAAGTATAAAAGTTCATCATATACGGTCTCGCTCTAGAAAACATTGGAATCAAGTTCTACTAGAAAACATTGGAAATTTGTTTTAAGTGAACTTCTGAATCGTTATTTTGGCGGCAGTGGCGAAACTCCATAAAATTGAAGGAACTACGAATACGGATTGTAGCTTCTAGTTCTTGCAATGTCTGAAGCAGAATCGATGGGAGTGGATGTGGAAGAAAACCTGGCCAATCCGACCGGGGAAGACGCAGAAGCTGCAATGATCGAGGAGCAGCAATCGTACTCGTGGCCAGTGATTCAATTCGATGCCCCTCCGCAGAGAACTTACCATTTTTACAACCAGTTTCGAACTGGTCGGAACCCTAACAACTTCCTCAAGGGCGTGAAATGGTAAATTGCCCTGCGTTCTCCTTATTTCTTTAGTGTTCTTTACACTTCACTCTTTTGAAATCTTGGCGTGTGATTTGTTATAGGTCGCCTGATGGGTCGTGTTTTCTAACAAGCTCTGAGGATCAAAGTCTTCGCATATTCAACCTGTAAGTCTTCGGTTATCAATCCGAAGTTTTTGCTTTATGTGTGGGCGCGCGCGCTCTTGAAAGTTGAAACATTTCTTAAAAGTCAAATTTGGAAAAATCTTTTCGGCATGTTACATTTTTGATGATGGAGTAAAATACTAGCTAAACTATACTGTTATGCAGATCAGATTATGGCAATGATGTTCCCGTCGGTGTAGCCGCTGAAGATGGTAAGTCCGGGCGTGAAAAAGGAAATACGTAAAAGGATCTAAGTTGGTAGACTTGAACTCAGCCATTTCAAGAGAAAATAATAATGAACAAAAAAGCGAACAAAAGAAAACTGTGACTGATGAAGTCATTTAGGCTTACTGCTAGTGTAATTTTCTTTCTCCTTTTGTAAGGTACCTAGATGATGCATTGCTTTGGTCTATATGGGCGATGATCCGATTTGAGATATAGAATGCACTCTGTTTCTCTTTTGTTTTTAGATTTTTAATATAATGTCACTCATGTGCTAAACTGTCGGCAGATTCTTTTACTTCCCACCTTGTTGTGGATGAGGGGGAGTCAGTTTATGACTTTTGTTGGTATCCTTACATGTCTGCTTCAGGTGCTCCTTGGACGCTTTTTCATTTATTTCTTAATAGTTTTTGAGAGAAAAAACTTTCCTTCATGTTTCGTATCATTGATGACACTGTTAATTGAATTCTGACGTGAAAGTTGGTTAACACCTTAGACCTTGTTACCTGCGTCTTTGCAAGTACCACACGTGACCATCCAATTCATCTCTGGGATGCAACGTCAGGCGAGGTACTTATCTTTTAATAGTTAATTTTCTTGCAAATGGGAACGGTCAGTTGCCAGGTGTAGGTGGTTGTCACACTTCCTCCACTGCCATATGTGGTAGCCCTCACCTTATAATAGCTATTATCAGCATATCATTTTGTCTCTTTTTCCTTTTTTGAATTAAATTCAAATTCTAGTATGACATTAATGGTATTTCAGAAGTCCTCAAGTTAAAATTAGTGATCGGAAGTAGCGATTCCATTGGTTGAAGAATTTTATTTTATTTTTTCCCCTTAATTATGTGTTGCAGTTACGTTGCACATATCGAGCTTATGATGCCATGGATGAAATCACTGCTGCCTATTCAATTGCATTTAATCCAGCTGGAACCAAGTAGGTGGTATCTTTGCTTCTTTTACCCCTTTTTCTATAAAATGCTCATGAAAAGCAGTTATGCTGTCTCATAATGTCATTATGCATGGACCATCGTCCTTTATGTTTTACATTGTGGTAATTTATGCCGAAGGTTGCCTATAAGGCGTCTTTGTAACTTTGCTATTGAAGATAAGATATCATCCCTACGATCTAATGATGTGATTGGAGGCATCTCAGCCTCTTCTTTGGTGCTTTTCAAAAATGCCATTTGAGTTCTTATTTATGTTTAATATTCATTTTCTAATTTGTTGCATATGGAGATACTGTATGTAATTGTGATTTGGTTACCAATTGAAACCACCCTTCTTTGGTATAGAATATTTGCTGGATACAACAAATTAGTGAGAATATTTGATTTACATCGGCCTGGTAGAGATTTTAAGCAGCACTCGACCCTACAAGGAAATAAAGAAGGGCAAACTGGTAGTTATCTTAGACTTTAGCTTTCCCATAGAGACTGTTTGCTAATTGAAAGACCAGGTATATCTACTGACCAATTGTTATGATCAGGCATCATATCTGCAGTTTCCTTTTCTCCTACACATAATGGAATGCTCGCCTTGGGTTCTTATAGCCAAACAACTGGAATCTATAGGGAAGATAATATGGAATTGTTATATGTTCTACATGGCCAAGAAGGTGGAATTACACATGTAGGAGGTTTTTATTGTTATTTTTTCTGCTTGGTTTTGACATATGTTCCCATTAAGGTGATGTTATGATTTGTCCAGATCCAATTTTCAAAAGATGGAAATTATCTATACACTGGAGGTCGGAAGGTATAAGTTCTTATGTGATGTTCTTGCACTGTGACCTGTATTCTATAATGCCTTTATCTGAAATTTCTTGAAGGACCCATATATACTTTGCTGGGATATTCGCAAATCTGTAGATGTTGTGTACAAGTAAGTGCTTCTCTACAAACGGTAGTGGCTATACCTTTTCTTTTAAGTAATATTAATCCTATAGGGAACAAGCAATGTATCTAGTATACCATAAAATTGAAAATTCTACCAGTCCAATAACGGCCTGCCGCTTTAACGTGCTGTTTGCTTATTCTTTTATGTACTTTCCTTCTGCATCGTGATTTTCATTGATCTAAGCAATTAATGTGGTTTTAAGATATGTACCTAATAAATTGCCAACATGGTTCCATATCCTTATAACTCTAGTTTGTTAAAGAAACTTAGGATGCCAATCCATTCAAGTTTTCTTGTTAAATTCGTACCTGAACTCTATTTATGAGTCTAAGTTCCCTTATCCGATTACTCCACTTCTTGTCATTAGATTATACAGATCATCGGAACATACCAACCAACGGATATATTTTGATATTGAGCCATGTGGGCAACATCTTGGCACAGGTGGTCAGGTATGGTGTCAGCTTTCATTCATATTATTATCCTTAATTCCTAACTTAATTAATCTAAAATGGTTTCGTTTTACATTCTGACCTATAGGATGGTTTAGTTCATGTATACGATCTTCAAACTGGGCAGTGGGTAACAAGTTTTCAAGCAGCACTAGGTATTGCATTTTCACTTTGTACGAGGACTGTCACTCATGTGGTTCTATAATAAATACCGTATTCTTTTTAGCTCTAATTCTTTTCTCCTACGTTGTCCTCTCTGCAGACACGATCAATGGGTTCTCTTTCCACCCATATCTGCCGACGGCTGTCACTTCATCAGGTCACCGAAGATTTGTAGGACCTGAGAATGACGATGGCGATTTATGTTTGCGTGGTATCCCTCAGTAACCCAATTGCACGTTATTGTTGTTCCTATTTTTTTGCTTATTTCAAATGATCCTAGTTCTTTCTCTGATGCCATTCTATGTTTCCTGGGCTTTATATAGGTGATGAAAATTGTGCTTCTGTGTGGAGTTTCAATTTTGCTTCATCGGGGGAAGGTGATGGTACAACACCAACTGAGCAAAATTCAAGCCAAGGTCTCTGAATTATTATTACTATTTTTTGATTAGTGTAATTCTAACTTGCATAAACATTCCTGTGCAATTAGCAATCGAACTGTGCAGCTGCATAACTATCGTATAATATTTCGTGTTTAATTATAATTTAACATAGTATTAACCCAGCTTGTGGAAAGTGTTAAAATGTTGGTAAATGATTAAATTCACCATAATCCACCCACTCAAGTTTGTGAGTTAGTGGTGATTAAACTATTTATTTTTTACATTTTGAAACTACTGCACTAAACAGAATGGTGTTGATACTCGTGAAATGTTTTCATTCCCAACTTATCTGTTTCTTTAATTTAATAATTGAGTGGGGAGGATAAAGTCATTGATTTTTCATTAAACTATGTGCAGATTGACTACAAATAATCACTCTAAATTATAGGATAATAATAACCATTCATTAGCTCTTGACCTATTTTCAAGCCTACCAGCAAGGAAGTGTGTAAAAGTGCGACAAATAATGAAATGTGATGTAACATTAGCTTAAGTTTTAGAAGTTCATTAGTTCAGTGGTGATTTAACAATTTATGTGGTACGTTTTGAACATAATGCTGGAAGAGGATGGTATTCGGTACTCATGAGACATTTTCGTTCACAACTAATTTATGATTTATAATTATATAGTGGGATGAAACCATCCACTTTCAAAATGTTAATAAATAACTTAGATTGACCACAAATATTGTAGGTTGGCTAGAAGTCAATTGGCAAAAATAAATAACCAACTTAAATTACAAGAAAAGTAAGATTTTTAGTTTGTTCTTCGAGTTAAAAGTTCAATTTGATACCCAAATTTGGATAAAATCGTTCTAATTCTCGAATTTTTAGAAAATAGTAATAAATAATCGTTTTAAATTATTTTGGTCAAAATAATCAGTAAATCTTAGTATAGTTCAACTAGACAAAAACGTTCAAAATATCGAGTCTCCAGATTGAACTAAAAAACTAAAAAATAAAAGAGAGATTTCAATTCTTAAAACGACACACGTCAATTGAGAATCATTCCCATTTTCGAGATGAAATCTTAGCAGATCAAGTAACGTTGGGCGCCTGAATCTAAGTCGGTTCGGGCATCAGGCAGTCTTCCTATAAAACTAAGAACAAATTGGAGCAGAAGCGAGGGCGGGTGACATCTCTTCGCGCGGCAACTCCAGTGTCGTCTCTTAGTCCGCTTACTTTCTTCCCTCTGAACAATTACGATGGCCTCCATAAAACGCGAGCGTCCTGGAGAACACGAACCTGATGCAAAGAAACCCAAACTTGCGTCTGTTTCGGATGCTTCTGAGCTGAAGGGCCAGCATCCAGTGGCGCTCAACCCTGCCGACTGCGACTTGGGTATTTCTCTTCTCTCTTCAAGGGCTCCTTTTTCCTTTTTTATGGCGTTCTTGTTTTATTCTTTTTCATTTTTCTCTCCGATGTAGTTTTGTATTGAAATCCTAATGCTGGATATGGGCTCAATTAAGCTGAGTTTGTCTGCGAACTCCTAGTCTCTTCTCCTCCCGTTTGCTCGAATCTCCCATTTGGAGGATTATATGAAGTCGGATGCTTTTGTTGGTCCCTTGAATTCTAATTAGCTTCTATTTATTGGTTAAGGACCTAAGGTTAGAATATATGCATGCCTTTTGAGTCTGAGAATTTAATTAAATGAACGTGGAGAGTACGAGTTACGAAGAACTTTCAGTCACTCTTCTCTTATGTGATTCCTGTACTCGCTTTCTTTTATCTGGCTTGGGCACTGCCTCCGAGAAGTTCTTCAAGGGTGAAGTTATATTTCAAAACATATATTTTTTTAATAAGTTCTTATACGTAAAACTTGTTCGGGAGCATAAATTTTTAAACAGTTTTTAGAAAGCAAAAAAAAAAAAATAATAAAATAAATAAAAATTATATTTTGTTCTTGTTTTGTTCCATGGAGGGCTGTCGCTGTCCTAAGCAAAAGGGGTTAGGTTGAAAAGAAGGGTTTTCTCATTGAGTTTGATCGCAGGTTGAGGGGTAGTGGAGGTTGACTTACAAAATGTGGTTGGAACAATTTCTCAAACTGTGATAGGAGTAGTTCTTTCTTCTTTTCTAATCTCTCTTTACTTAGCTTCTCTTGAGTGTATTCTTTGTCTTCATTGATGAAATCAATTTTAGTGGGTCGAAGTGCAAAGATTATATCCTTCGAGTAGAAAATAAAAACTTAAAACAAAAAGAGGTGTCTTCTTTCTGAAGTTTCCAAGATTGGCAGGCATGGTTGGAAAAACTGACTGTTAGTTTTGGTAGGACAAGAAAAAGTGGGTTGGAGGAGCTCCATGTCTCTAATTGAACTACCTAGGGACAAGTATTAAAGTGAGGAACTCTCATAAGAAGAATGTTTCTCTTTGCAAACCTTCATGTGCTGGGACTTTCAAGAAGTTTTAAGAATGAAGGTATGATTACTTTTTGTCACCTAATAAAATAGAAGGTATGATTACTTTGAGTCAGAAAGAGACATGTTAGTTCTGAGTCCCCTACTACACTTTTTGGAGGCCCTGGTAATTCTTTCAGCCTCTTATTCGTTTGTAGGAGATGGTAGTAGAAGGTTTGGGTGTTTTGTTGGTGAAAAGTAAAAGAAGGGATCTGCTAAGAGTTTGAAAGAGTGGGTGGTGGTTTCCAAGGAATCTTTAAAAAATGTTTTGGTGGGAGTCTTCACAGATAGTAAGATTGTCAGCTGCGTTGTTAAAAACATTCGTCTTTCCTTGTTCAGTGGGTAACAGCCTTTTGAGTAGCCTCTGCAGGTTCATCTTTGGAAGAGTGCAAAGGAATTTTTCTGGATGCTTGCAGAGATCCTAGTGAGATTCGGGCTCTCTTTTATTTTTGGCTTCTCTTTGGGTTTCTAGCTCTAAGGCTTTTTGTAATTATTCTAACTCTGCCATTTGCCTTCAGTTGGAGTGTTTTTTGTTTTCTCCTTTTTGAGGTTTTGTGTATTTTATATTCATCAGACGTGTGTTTCTTAATCAAAAAAGCAAGTAATGATTTATGTGAGATGTTAGAGTTTGTTTCCATGTTATTATATTGAAAAAATATGGTCCCATACATACTCATTTACGTTGCTATTTTGTTTCCAGATTTCAAGATTGAAAGTGATGGTCTTCAAGGATCTGCTCTTTATGAGGAAGGTTTTGCTTATTGCTGGTCTGGCGCTCGGGCCACCATTGGTATTACTGGTGGAAAATATTGTTTTGGTTGCAAGGTTATCTCTTTACAGCCAGTTGAAATGGATGATACTCCTCCAGATCAGCAGCATGTTTGTCGTCTTGGCATTTCCAGAGGGGACAGCCCAGTTGGAAATCTTGGAGAAACTAAACAAAGTTTTGGATTTGGTGGCACAGGGAAGTTTTCAAATGCTGGAAAATTTTCTGATTATGGTGAAAAGTTTGGGATTGGTGATACTATTGTTTGTGCTGTTAATCTTGAAAGCAAGCCCCTGGCTTCTATTGGATTTTCCAAGAATGGCAAATGGTTGGGTACGGCAATACAATTTGATGCAGGTCCAAGGGGTCTTGGAGTGGTGGATTCTCCATTGAGAAAGCTTCAACGGGAATCAGCATTTTTTCCTCATGTATTATTGAAGAATGTTGTGGTCCAGTTGCAATTTAGTGTTGAAGAGGGGCTTGCTCCAGAAGAAGGCTTTAAACCGTGGGCCTCTGCTTTGGATGATAACAATGCATTACTAGGGCCTACTTTTAGTAATGTAAGAGATTGTGAAGTCATGATGATGGTGGGTCTACCGGCTTCTGGAAAAAGTACATGGGCCAAAAAATGGGTAGATGATCATCCGGAGAAACGCTATGTTTTGCTTGGGACTAATCTAATTCTTGATCAAATGAAGGTATTAAGCTGTTATTTATTGCATCATTTTACGTTCCCTGTTGGCTCCATCTGTGGGGGTTGATCTTGATTGCTCTCCCCCATCTGGTTTACCTCGTTCTAGGGGATCATTTTATGTTACATGACAGCCTGTGAATTAAATTTTTTGACAGTTACCAGGTCTATTGCGAAAACATAATTATGGTGAGCGATTTGATCGCCTGATGGACCGAGCGACTGGGATTTTTAATGTACTTCTGTCTAGAGCAGCCAGCATACCTCGAAATTACATAATTGATCAAACAAACGTTTACAAGAATGCTCGTAGACGTAAACTGAAACCATTTGCTGACTTCCAGAAGGTATATATTGAAGTCTGTTTGATCATTCAAGTTTTCAATATCCTTTTGGCTTTAATTTTAATTTCCATTTTTTGCCCTCATTCTGGTTTCCAGATTGCTGTTGTGGTATTTCCAAAGCCTGAAGAGTTGCAGTGTCGATCAGCTAAAAGATCTAGAGAAATGGGGAAGGAAGTACCAGCTGATGCAGTGAATGATATGTTAGGTCTGTTTAGTGTGTTATCTTTGCAGTTTGCATCTACAGTAGTTTCTCCATATACCTACTGGAAAATACGTGTTGTTGCTAATAGTATAATTATTAATCACCATAGTTCATGTTGCTTACCAATGGTACCATGAATATCATGACATTGACAGCCAATTATATCTTACCAACTAGCAAGGACGTGCCTGGATCGGGAGAGTATTTTGATGAGGTAATTTCATCCTCCGTAGATATGATGGGTTTTTGCCCAAGTGTAATGATTTAGGCATTATAACATATGCCCTCCTTTTGTCAGGTAATATTTGTAGAACTTGATCGTGCAGAGTCTCAGAGATGCTTAGATGGGATGAAACGTGCTCTAACATCTGAATCACACAATTTTATGTCACATTCTCAAGCTAGCCCTGCTCCTCCTCATATTTTACCATCTCGAAATCAAGGTGCTTTCCCCTACTTGTCTGGCCTCACTGATTGAAACTGAGTTTACATTTTTTTTTCTTCTGACTATGTATTCGTTTGATTTGGTGGTCATTATATTTATGGCTTAGCATTGTTTTTCTCACCTTCCAGCTACTGCCACCAATCTCCACCCAGCTAACATGAAGTTTCCTTTTTATCTTTATATTTTTCACTTGTGGTCTGTGGAGTGAATAATTTTTTCTTTTGTAAGTTCTCAATTCTCAGTGAATCGTAAATACAACACATGCTCATCATGTATTATGAAAAGAGAAAAATTTCAATGTGAAAATCTTTCACGTTTTGTATATTAATTGAATCATCTATATTATGAAGGCCACATTGGCTGCTTCTGGACTTTATTCTGATGTCTAGGTTCACATTTTTCTTTTCCAGCTTAGTAATTACTAAAGACAGGCTAAGGTGAATCATCTATGTTATGAAGGCCACCTTGGCTGCTTCTGGACTTTATTCTGATGTCTAGGTTCACATTCTTTCTTTTCCAGGTCTACATAGTATCTCGAATGATGAACGATATGGAAGTTCAAGATTTATTTCTGAAGTACATCAAGAAAATATGAATTCTCCTTTGTCTAGATTTGTTCCCCCTTACAGATCTAACGACAATCTGATTAGTGAAACCAGGTACTCTGGTCCAAGTAGCCATCCCCCAGTTCGAAGTTATCTTGGGTTTGATCCTTACAGCATTGGTGGACATTTCCGAGGCGATGATCGAATGTGTCCTCCAAGGGAATACTCTGATATAGCTTCTCCTTTCCCACGTATGGGTGAAATGCCTCCAAGGGAATACTCTGATGTAGCTTATCCTTTCCCACCTACTGGTTAGTTCTTTAATCCATTGCTCCCTGCTGTTGCGGGTGCTGTTTTTTCAATAAGTAGGAAGATTAATAGATCGAAGACTTTTGCTCCTCTGCTTCTAGGTGGTTATTTACTTTTGGTGGAGAGTCATTTGTTTAACTTGATAAGTTTGTATAATTATCTCGAGCTCTCTGCAGAGGTGCGAATGGTTAGTTTTTTTTTTAAAGAAGAAATTGGTTTTTCCTTCTCTCTGTGTATCTTATTTCTTTTCTTGGGGAGGGATCAAAATCCTGAAATGGGTGATTGCCTTTTCCTGCATAGGAGATAGTACATTGTTTGTTATAATATTTTGCAACATGGAATATTTTCCTTGTTTTTCCTTTTCATGGTAAATTTCATTTCCTCCTCTTTTATATTGGTTTCTCATGGATCACTCTTAATTCTGTACCAATATTCAGGTCCACCTTATGGAAGCCCGCCTCCAAGACCTACATATCAATTTCCTTCTAATATGCCTTATGGTAGAGGTTATGCCTCCCCACGTCCAAGCCCAAGGTACTACTGATACTGACTACTAATGGGTTCACGGGTCATCCTTCCTATGTTTTATGTATACATATAATATATTCATCAGAGTGGAAATGGTGAACAATTGTAATTATTCTGGCTCTATGCATGCATGGCCTGTTACACCTATTTCTCTGCATACATTTTTTGTAGTTTCGTTAGCCAATAATCGAATTCAGAACTTCATCGATCCTGCTGTTGTCGACGAACATCTTCAAAAAGAGTTGATTGAAATTAATCTTATTCACATGAAGTTAGGAAACGTTTTATTCATTTGATTAGAGTTGTTAGAAAACCTGAAGAGTTGTCTTTACACTGCATTTTCTTAATTTATGTTTGGCTAGCTAACTGCATTAAAGTGCTGTTAGGTTTTGGATTTGTGATGCGTCTCCATCAAGGAAATAGATTCTCTTTTGCAGGCTCTTGAGTTAGTTCAAAAAATTCGGTAATTTGAAAGACCCCATCAATCTAATTAGGTCGAGTTAGATCGTGAACTTGTCTGGTCTATGGTTTTCTAAAAATCAGTTTAAAATGATCAGTATACTAATTTTAATTTCATTGCTCATAAGGAATTTCTTTTAGTTCAAGATAAAACTTTTTGTGCATGCATCTATTTTAATTCATAATTTATAATTATATAAAAATGGGTTTAATTGATTCGAAATAGGAAATATGATCCTTGTACCATAATGTGTGAATTAATATTGTATAGTTTAGGGTTTTGTATCTAAAATGCCTCTAGTTTTTAGCTTGTAGGCTAACCCAACTTGAAAATACTGTAATTAGTGTAGGGTTTAATAACTTTTAAAGTTGGCAATTGAAATTCCTTTCAAAGGAGTAATTGCAAATTCCACGATATCATTTTCTTTAATGGGATTTGGTGGATCCCTTTTCCAGCTATAACAAATCGAGTATATCTACCATACGTAAGATTGTTCCATAACTTAATTGTATATAACAAAGTAAATCTCCAATTTTACTTCTAGGTAATTTTTCTCCTAGGTAATTTTTTTTTTAAACCTCCTTATGAAATAAGAGATTAAAATTATTGTCAAAATAAATATCTCCATCCGAGAGAAAATCTTTTATAACACAAAAGAAGTAAATTTCACTCATTATCAACCACGTCAATCAGATTGTAAGAATAAAATAAAATAATGTATCAATTAACAGATTTGTAAGAATAAAATAAAATAATGTATCAATTATTCTTACAAATGATAATCATTTTTAAACATGTTCATCTTTTATATAATTTAAAATTTCAAACCTACCTTAATAACAAGAACAACTTACACATTATTTATGTCATGATTTTTTATTAAAATTAAAATATCAAATACTCGTGAAATCTTAATCAAATTCAAGTTTTAGAAGCTTATGATTTGCTTTTCAAATTAGGTAGGATTTCATTAAAGACTCTAAAAACAAAACATAAAATCATTACCGAAGGAAATCTTGAAATGTAAACCAGGTAAAATTTTTTTAATAAATTAAATTATGAAGAAGGAAATAGGACTTTTAAGAGTTGCAATTCCTTTTTACTTTCCTTTTCAAGCGCGTAGCAGCCGCAGCTGGCTGCGCATTGGGGAGGGTCGATACCATATTCTCGGACGCACACCAGCCGTTGGATCCAGTACAGCTCCGCCACTAATATTTTACATGCCAACTTGTTTCCTGTTGTTATTGTTTCAAATTCCCTTTTTATAAACAAATAAGAAAACATACGTAAGTTGTGGTGAGCGGGGACTTATTTGACAATTAAAATACAAAAATGCAAAAATATAATTTTTCTAAAAAATAGTAGTCATCAGTATTTTAGTCATAATTAATATATATATATATATATTCTGTGAATATCCGGATCAGCTTACGTGTACCTCAACTAATTTCATGGACAACCATATGACACTATAACATTTGGTATACATAGGAATTACTAATTCATAGTCATCGTGGGGTTTGAATTTATTTACTCTTAATTAATCCTTAAAAAAATAATCAACAGTGAATATTATATTCTAAAAAATAGGATCTAGGTATTTTTTTTAATTGATAAAAAGCATTTGGTGCGCAGCGCAGCGCTTTGCATCAAAGTGCTTCCAAGACTTGCGCGCCAAGTCAGTGGAAAAGGAGGCGACTGTCGCGCAGAGGCATAAACAGCGCAGATCACGTTCCGAGTTTCTTGCTCTCTCTCTCTCTCTCTCTCCAATATCTCTGGATTCTTTTATTCCCACCGACTCTGACCATTCAATTTCAATACGTTACATTGGAAACTAAGCCACGCCTCTCTCTCTCTCTGTTAAGCTTTTGCCGATTCATAAATATTTGCCGTAATCGTTGGGCACCTCTACAACTCAGGCGGCGATACACAGACCTGCTTTTGCAGCAAACAAAATGGCAACCCGCAGTTTCTACACCAGAGTTTCCAGACTTTTCCAGGACCATCCTTCCTTCTCTAGGCTCCTTGTTCTTGTCACCATCAGGTATTCTTTTCTTTTACCACTTCTCTGTTTCTTTTGCGGCTCTGGATTTTGCTGTATGGTTTAAATACGAGGATAAATTGTGGCCCTATTCCTGTTTACTGTTGTATTGTGGGATTACGCTTTATCTATTGAAAACTTTAAAATTCCACTTGCGTGGTGGAATATATTTCGATGCTACACAGAAGAACTTTGGAAAACGACCAACGATGCTCTGTTTTGCTATTGTCTGCCTCTGACTGTTTTTTAATCGAGGCCCATGCTTTGCTTTTCAAATTGTTCCCTGCTACTAATTCAAGAGAATCTATCCTGAAGATTTTATGTTCTCCGTTTCGGTCTTTTTTTTCCTAGTCTTTCAGTCTTCATTCTTTCAGATCTTATTTGATGGATTCATGCTTATGCATAGACGACTAGAGATGCAGATCAAGCGTTCGGTTACTGTTAAAGATCAAAGGCTGCGATATTTTCTGTGTATTAATCTCTATGGTCGATGCTTCCCGAACATGTTCCTTCCATCCTCGAGTCAAAAAGGACACGGAGTTAACTTCCTCTTCTGATTCTTTCCCATATAATTCACAATTCAATTTTCTCAAAAGCTGCTGCTAATAAGAGAGAGTTGGTTGTGATCCTGAACACCCTTACCTTAGGGGCATCGCTTACTAATCCAATTTGATGCACATAACTAGCTGAGAGGAAAAACTAATAGGCACACTAATATAAAAGGAATACCTTAAATCATTCTCTTCTCCTTAGACCCATCTGAGACCTTCAATTTCGATGTAAGGATCGCTGAATCAGTTCACCTAAAAGTGGTGGGTAATAGAAAAGCTCAATTACATTCTATAAATAACTTCGGATCGAGCCTGAAACCTCACTCTTAGGATCAATTTCTTTGAAGATATTTCTTGAAAAATTCAATCGGGCTCACCCATAAATCGGAAAAAAAGCTCCCATTAGGCCTATGCCTATTCCATGTTTAAGGGATGCCCATATTATATATTGTTCGTTTTTGTATGTCATTTTCCACTATGTCTTTACTCAGATTTGTATGCGTTCTTTTTTTCTGCAGTGGGGGTAGCCTTGTAGCATATGCTGATGCTAGTCCAATAAATGTTGCACCCAGCACCAGCATTGCATCATTTAAAGCGGACGTCGATGAAAAAAAGAAGAAGGTGGTAGTACTTGGAACTGGTTGGGCCGGAACAAGTTTCTTGAAGAACATTAAAGATGCCTCATATGAGATTCAAGTGATATCCCCTCGTAATTACTTTGCATTCACCCCATTATTGCCAAGTGTTACATGTGGTACAGTGGAAGCCCGCAGCATTGTTGAACCGATTCGCAACATTGTGAGGAAGGTAATGGAATTCTGTCCATTTGGCTATGTGCTGTAAGAGTTGGAACATATAATTGTAGAACTAGTTGGCTATGTTCAAAGAGTTTTTTGGAGGAAAAAATGTAGAAAGATTTCCATATCTTATCAATAAACGGTAAGAAAATACGACGTTACTTGAACAAGATCTGCTCTATAGGTTGTACTATTGTTTCCTTGAGTCCTAAGGAGAAAAATTTAATAAACAGTAAGAAAATGAGTAATGCCATTTTTGTAGACAGTTGGCTTTCCTCTCATGTAACTTCTATACCTAGTTACAGAAAAGGGTAATAAATGATCCTTAGAAAAACAAATTTACTTCGTATGTAATTTTAAGATCCATTTCAAGGAGATTATGGGCCTACTTTCCACCTATTCCCTCACATGTTAGTGCTTTTACTGTAGCTTGATTATTTATTAACATTAAGATGATCTTCTTGTTTTTCCTTCTTACAGAAAGGGGTAGACATCATATTCAATGAAGCGGAATGTTACAAGATTGATGCTGAAAATAGAAAGCTCTATTGTCGATCTAATGCAAATAACAATCTGAATGGGAAAAAGGAATTTGTTGTGGACTACGACTACCTAGTGATAGCTGTGGGAGCACAAGTTAATACTTTCAATACTCCTGGTGTCGTGGAGAATTGCCACTTCTTGAAGGTAACATGCTTTATCGCCTGAACAAATTACAATTACTGATTAAAGAAGTGGCTTCTCATCAACTCTTTTTTACGTAGTATCATCATGTCGTTATAGAAGTAATAGTAGAACTAGTAATAATAATATTGGGTATAATGTATATCCCCCTTCCCTAACGGGGTTAGTAAAAACGACCACCAGTTTCACTAGGGAATGAAGAATGAAAAATCAGTGAAAGTAACTGGATCTTTTGTGAAGTACTGACTTCCTCCGCGTCTGTTACTTCTGACTAATTTCTGAGAATTGCTCTAGGAAGTGGAAGATGCTCAGAGAATACGAAGAACTGTAATTGATTGCTTTGAGAGGGCAAGTCTACCTACCCTTAATGAAGAAGATAGAAAGAGAATTCTTCACTTTGCTGTTGTTGGTGGTGGCCCAACTGGTGTGGAATTCGCTGCAGAACTTCATGATTTTGTCAATGAAGACTTGGTCAAATTATATCCTGGACTAAAAGATTTTGTAAAAATTACTCTTCTCGAGGCAGGGGATCATATTTTGAACATGTAAGGAAGTGTGACATTGAGCCTTTGAAAATTTTCTCTACTTAGTGCTTAAATATTTTTCAATGATTTTGTATCTGCCTGAGTCCTATCATACCATTTGTGCAAAAGCAACAATGAAAGATTTGTGCTGCAGGACCATTGAAATGAAGCTTTCCAATGCCTTGAATGGAAAAGCTTTATTCACAGACTTCTATATTAAATAAAACTTATGTCGTTGTAGGTTCGACAAAAGAATTACAACTTTTGCTGAAGAAAAATTCCGAAGAGATGGTATTGATGTTAAGACAGGATCAATTGTGATCAAGGTAACTGATAAAGAGATTTCTACCAAAGAAATGAAGAGTGGAGAAGTATCTTCCATGCCCTATGGCATGACAGTATGGTCAACCGGTATTGGAACTCGTCCAATCATAAAGGACTTTATGACACAGATTGGTCAGGTTAGTTTATTGGAAGCCTCTAACATACTAATATTGCAGGTCTGACATAATACTATTTGGTTGCTGTCTCCTCTCTCACCATTTTACTTTACAAAATTTGCTCTGCTCTCTTTTTCAGCCTCTCTCACATTTATAAGCGATATTTGTATAATGTGTATAGGTTAACAGGCGTGCTTTAGCAACCGATGAATGGCTTCGAGTTGAGGGATGTGACAATGTATATGCAATTGGTGATAGTGCCACCATAAATCAGCGAAGAGTCATGGTGAGTGTACTCGTCCCTTTTGAAAGTCTTACGGTCATTTTTGGCTCATGTCCACTGGCTCTCTTTCAAGTTTCTATACCCATGATTCATCGTACCATGGTTTTTCATGTTTTAGTTTGATGAACACTTATTAATTTAATATTTTATAAACCAAATTATCATATATATTTTTATTTTTTGTGATTATTCGATTTGTTTGATCTTATTTCTCCCTTTCCTGCTCGCTGTTGCTAATTTCTCAACAGGAAGATATTGCAGCAATTTTTAGCAAGGCAGACAAAGACAATTCTGGGACACTAACTGTAAAAGAATTTCAAGAAGTCATTAATGACATATGTGAAAGATATCCCCAGGTGGAGCTGTATTTGAAGAATAAGCAGATGCACAACATCGTTGATCTTTTGAAAGGATCCAAAGGGGATGTGGCAAAGGAGTCCATCGAATTAAACATTGAAGAGTTTAAATTAGCTCTTTCCCAAGTCGATTCTCAAATGAAAAATCTTCCTGCCACCGCACAGGTCCGCCATAGATTCTTGCATGATACCCATTTGATACTGAAATTGGATTTCCACAATAAACATGTTTTACACCCATCTGAAATGTCGTTTCAGGTGGCTGCCCAGCAAGGTGCATATCTTGCCAAATGTTTTAACCGCATGGAAGAGTGCGAACAAAATCCTGAAGGTCCTCTTAGGTTTAGGGGAACAGGACGCCACCGTTTTCGGCCCTTTAGGTACCACTCTCTCTCTCTCTTTTGATCTGATGTGTGCAATAGCCGAATCAAAGATAAAACGCGAACATTTTTGCATGTGAATCCCGTAAAGTTCGGCAGGGGTTAATAAAACTAGATAAGTTTCTTTTGTATTAAAAAAAATGAAAGTAAAATAATTTGACCATCTAGACGTGTGAATTCATTCTCAATAAATAGTTCAACCACTCATTTTGTTATTGAGTCTACTGGGAGTATGGGACCTCTTTCCTTATTGCTACATGCAAGCGTCCTGCTGAACTGTTATGAATGCAGGCTCGCTTATCGAAATAAAATCATTATCTTTCTTTAGGTCTATAGAACAGGGGAGGCAGATATTACAGTCTGATGCAGTTGTGCACAGTGACATTCTTGACATTATTGCACCGAACTTCTAGACAATTCAATTTCAAATTTGAACTTTCTGAATGTAAGGAACTAATATGAGTCTGATTTGCTCTCTGTGTGCGACCGTCCTTGAAGGTACAAACATCTTGGACAATTTGCACCGTTGGGAGGAGAACAAACGGCTGCACAACTTCCTGGGGATTGGGTGTCCATTGGCCACAGCTCTCAGTGGCTCTGGTACTCTGTCTATGCAAGGTGACATTCTAAAGGAAATGAAATTTATCTTTATATAATAAGAAAAATTGATTCAGTAACTTAATACCAAAAATCTTTGATGTCTCCCTCGAGTGTTGGGTGGGTGTCCTTGGGTATAGGGGAATTAAGCTCCACCCCAGTTATCAAACGAAAAAAATAAGGAAAATTGATTAGTTTAACTTCAGATTAGGATATGCTTTGTCTTGACTGTTTGGTGATTCTCTCATTTGTTTCAGTAAGCAAGTTAGTTGGCGGACAAGGGCATTAGTGGTTACAGATTGGACGAGACGTTTCGTTTTTGGCAGGGATTCGAGTCGCATATGAATCAACCCAAGACCGGGAGTTGGTATTTTAGTTTGAAGATGAAGGATGGTTGGCTGCTCAAGTTTAAAGCAAGTGCAGCATTGCGAGTTAATGATACACACAAAGTTTAGTTTACTTTATTCATCAAGGAAAATACATAAATCTCGGCAGAGTGACCAATATAGTTGGTACAATAATTTTGGTCATATTCGTCCGATGAATTTGTTAGTTCATTGTGGTCAGCAGTGAGCTTTTTTGTCAATGCTTCTTCCCCCTCCTCCGCGGCTTAAGATGTGAATTCTTGTTTTGAGTTTGAGCATATTATGATTTATTGATACAAAGGCCAGAGTTGATGCAAATTTATCTCTCTCCCGATAATTATGATATTGTTCTCAACCTATCAAGTTTAGTACGACCTCCAAGCAAAGGTTGTTGGCTAAATAAATGTTTATAAAATTAATCTCAAATCTATTGCTTCGTGTCCAAGTGTTTTTATATGTACTTTTTTGTCATTATATAAACGGGGTAAAATATGAGTCTTATTCTGAAAATGTCATTTTGAATTTTGTTAGGTAACACAGTTAAATAAAGTGGTGAAAAATGCAAATATTTTAAAATATAATAAATTTGTAAATATTTATTAAGACCATTTATTTTTCTATATTTAAATGGTCCTTTCAGGCGAACTCTGAAACTAGTTGAATTGTGCTATGAAAAAGAAAATTAATAAATACTAAAAAATTATATTTTACTTTTGTTTTTTTTTGAGGAATTATATTTTACCTTATG